TAAAAACTGCTGTCTGTGCAAGTGGAAAACTGAGAAGTGAGAGTGGTAAGATGATGGTTTTGTATTCATCTAATAAAAGAGTAACTAGTGATGATCGTTTTCATTCAGAGCTGGGGTCTTCTAGAGAGAAAGGAGGCTCGGGGCGGAATTGATATAAAGCAGAAAGTGTACTTGCTATCTTATGTCCCCGTACAAGGATGAGTAAAAACAGCTACCATTTCAGTGTGCTTCAGAGAAGCAAGGTCATCAGGGCTGATGTGCAGATTCACAGAACTGATGTTGAGGAAACTATGACTGGAAAAGAAAGTGTGTGTTTTTCTTAACTTTCAACTCTAGAGAGCATGGTAAAATGGTTTTGGAAGTTGAAGGAGGAGGACCGCATCCTGATGTACAGAGCCATATGAGGATTAAAATATAGAGAAGTGAGTGAGAGCGGTGACCTAGAGTTGGGCTTCTTGTTGTGACTCATTTAATCAGGGATAAAAGGCATAATGAGATTAGTCCTAGTGGACTCTAGACAGAGACTAGGGGTCAGTCTGTAAATATTTTTGGGTAGGGCAGTTTAAATGTCTAAGGTTCCTTCTTGACAGTCTTTTGAGACCAAAAAAATCTAGAGGGACTAACCTTCCTCTGAGTGAGCAGTGTCTCCTCTTCATCTCTGTATGTGACGGGTAGAAGGAAAAGGAATGATCATTTTTGTTAGTGTTGAAGTAGGATCTGTTTAAAAAAGAAAGCTAACTGTTTTTCTCTACCTAATTCTCTTCCCTCCCTCTCAAGTTTGAAGCATAACTAAGAGGTATTTAAATGTTAACACATACCTCAAAAAATGTTTCTTTATAAAAACATAACCACAAATTCATTATAATGATTTCTTAACATTAACTACTAATCGGTATTCAAATATCTGTGATTGGCTTATAATTTTTATATAAATTCATCTTTTCAAATACGACCAAAATAAGGTGTATATATTACAACTGGTTGGTACTTCTTTTAAAATGATAGCTCTGTATTCTTATTCTTAGATTCAGTTTTTCTAGGTATTTTTGTTTTCTCCCCCCCACCATAAACACATTCATAGATGATATTGTGTACTTCTCTCAGGAGACATAATAATGTCTATTGTCTCTTTCTCTGTTCATTTTTTAGTCTTTTATTGTTTGCTATTAATTTTTTAAGGTAAAATAGTAAAGATAGATTTATTAGAAAGTTACATCTCCAAAGGCAGGACCTCCCTCCTTGAAAGGAAATATGGAGGAGAAAGGTCTCTTTGCTGTTAATTTTTTTTCCCCCCTCCCCTTCCAACCCAACCCTCTTGGAAAAGGAAAAGAAAAATTCTTTCGTTGTTTTACAATCCCTCCCTCCAGGTCCACTCCACTATGCAGTCTTCGCTCTGGACTCCCATCATGACAAAAGTACCTAATCACATATCCCTTTTTTATTTTCTCTCTCTTTTTTTTTTTTCACATATCCCTTTTAAACAGTTTTCTCCCTCATCTGTTACAATGCAGTATACATTATTGAACCCATCTTTCTCAGTCTCCCCCCCCAACCCCAATGTCAGTCCTGTGGCACCATGCAGTATTTGTCCTTTTGTGACTGAGATACTTCACTCAGCATAATTTCCTCCAGGATCACCCATTTTGAATAATACTGCATGAGTTCCTTGTTTTTCAATGCAGCATAGTATTCCATTGTGTGAATATACCATGGCTTCTCTAGCCATTCATTTGTTGATGGGCACTTAGGTTGTTTCCAACTCCTTACTCTTGTGAACAAAGCCACGAAAAACATGGGTGTGCATATATCTGCTTGGATGTCAGTTATGGTCTCTTTGGGGTATATTCCCAGTAGTAGAATTGCTGGGTCAAATGGTATCTCTATTTGCAACTTTTCTGAGAAAGCGCCATACCGCCTTCCACAGTGGTTGCACCATTTTACACTTCCACAGTGAATAAGGGTTCCAGTTTCTCCACAACCTCGCCAGCATTTGTTGCTTGCTGTTCTTTTCAATTTTGCTCTTCTGACTGGGATAAGATGATATCTCATAGTTGTTTTTTTGCTGTTAAATTTTTAACCTTAATAGCTATAGACGTAAAAAAATTTTTTTTATTAACTTTAATGAAAATTTAGAGACTTTGAATTGCCATTCATTCATTGTTGTCTTTTCTCCCTGCCCAACCCCCAATAGTTACAGACTTTTTTCATGAAAATTTACAAATCATAGTAATTTTTCATCTAATGATTTATATACATTTTAATTTTTAACATAATTATAAACTTTTAATATAGTGGATTAATTACAATGTCTGATCAGCTTCTTGTTATGTATTGTCTTTATCTTCACCCAGCTTATTTGTTTATTAATTTTACACCCTTCACTCTCCCTTCTCATTACTAGTAACCATCCCAAAATTAGTGTCTCTGTGTAAACCAAACCTTTTCTTAGCTTTTTATGATATGATCTCTATGCGTAATTGTTCTGTGATTGGTTTATGTCACTCAGCATAATTTCTACTAGATCTCTTCCACAGTGTTTTACAACGTCTTTAGTATTGCATAGTATTCCATTGTGTACCTTTATTTCTTTAACTGTTCTCCAGTTTGTGGATAGTTGGGTTATTTCCATCTCTGTGCTATTGTGAATAACACTGCAGTGAGTCTAGTTGTACCTTTATCTGTTTGAGTTGGCAGCTCTTCTTAGAGATACATACCTAGTAGTGGGATGGCTGGATCAATATTTCTAACTTTTTTCCCCTTGTTGTTGTTTTTCTTTTTTCTAATTGATATTTTAATGAAAGTTTATAGAGAACTTTGATTTCCATTCATTCATTGTTGCACATTTTCCTCCCTTCTCCCCCATCCTCCCAAGTGAGTATTTGTTTCTGTTTTACTCAGCATTGCAGTTGTAGGCTATTGTAGCCTGACTGAGAAGATACCTCATTGTTGTTTTTCCATTCTCTAATAGCTAGTGATCTTGAGCATTTCTTCTTCAGTTTCTTGTCCATCTGAATGTCTTGGTGAAGTGTCTTGTTCTTTGCACATTCTGTGGCTGGATTGTCTTTTTCTTGTTGAGGTGTTCAAGTTTTCTATGTTATTGCCCAAAGTTTCCCCCTTGTCTGTAGGTTCCCTCTTTATTCTTTTTGAAGATATCTTTTGATGCACATAAGGATTTAATTTCTAGGCGATCCCAATTATCTAGTTTATCCTCTGCTAATTGTGCCGTTTTAGTTAAATTTGATACTCTATTTATGCCATAGAATAGGGCTCCTAAATTGTCCTTCTTTTTCCTTTTGTGAACTTTATAGTTTTGAGTTTTATGCCAAGGTCCTTTGTTTTTTGTGTGTGGTCTGAGATAATGGGTCTTATTTCAGTTTTCTGCAAATACATGTGTAATTTTGTCAACACTATTTGTTAAAGAGATTGTCTTTTCTTCATTTTATGTGTTTCATGTCTTTTTCAAAGGCTAGTTTTTCTGTATGTAGATTTACTGCTGCATTCTCAATTCTGTTTGTTGATCCGTGTCTAGGTTGCTGTACCAATACCAAGCTTTCCCCCCCCCCATAGTTTATTATTATTATTACTACTATTTAAATGCCATGTTTTATTTAACTTTCTGACTTTGTGCTGGTGCCTTCAATACTTTTACAATGACTTTCTACTCCTTTTAAGGGAAGCATGCTTGATCCTGTCATGGAAACACTTAGTACAATAGGGAACCATGTTCTTTTTTGTTTTGGACAACTTCATGAGAACTTTAGGTCTCACAGCACAAAACCCCTCAAACTTGGCCTGCACACACACCACATGTAGATTGTGGTGCTTTCCCAACCTTCTTGGTATAATGTTAAATCATTCTATTACCAGGGGTTTGGGACAGTGTAGATTTGTTAGAGACTATGTTGTATGTCAGATGCTGAAATATTTTGAATACTTCCAGATAGATAGCATCTCCAGAAGAGGAAGAAGGCTGTGAGGAGTACCAAGCTATTTTTATTGACATGGCTATGTAATAAGTCTTGAAATCAGAAAGTATAAAACCTCCTACTCTGTTGTTCTTCACTATAGCTTTGCTTATCCTTGATCTCTCCTTTTGCAGTGGAGTTAGACTGATTTTTTTCATATATTGCTCTTGTACTCTGCTAGTATGCTAAATCATTCAATTAGATATCCTGATATTTTTGCTGAATCTTTGGGACTAAATTGTTGTTATGTGCCTTGAGTCAGGTAGCAACCCTATGCACAATGGCTCTGAACCTGCCCTATCCTTAGCCAATCTCACTGACTCTAACAAACATACCCCCATTACCCTAGTCCATCTGTTCTGGCATCTTCCTCTCCTGAGCTGTTCCTCCACCCTTTTGAGCATGATGTCCTTCTCCAAGGACTGGTCCCTCCTGGCCACATGCCCAAAGTATGTGAGACGGAGCTTCAAAGTCCTCACCTCCGAGGAGAAACTTGATTTCACCCTCTCCAGGAAAGAACCTATTTGTTTTCTTGACAGTCCATGGTATGGTTCAATACTCTTCTCCAACGCCACAACTCAGACATATATTCTTTTGTCATCTTTAGTCATTGTCCAGCTCTCTAATGCATAGCAAATAATTGTGAAGACCATGGCCTGAATCAGGTACACTTTAGTTTCTAGATTGACATTGTTGCTTAGATTATCTACAAAAGATAGTTTTACTTCATTATTACCAATTTGGATGTGGGGTTTTTTTCTCTCCTATTTTTTCTTGCCTTATTGCTCTGTTTAGGACTTTGACTACAGTATTTAAAGGAGTGGGTATTAAAAGCATCCTTGTCCTTTGTTTTGGGCTTCTGCTGTTAACCAAAATTGACTAGCATCATTGGTTTTGTGGCCTAGCAAACAAACATAATCACTGCAGAAATTTGGTTTAGAACGCCCTAGTCACATCACAGATGATTTTTTTTCCCCCTTAGAATTTTTTTTTGTTTAGTTTGCCTTTGACTTACTGAATCTCTTGTAATTTTAGGAACGTGAAGATCATCCCCGGAAAGGACGAGAGGATCGACAGCACCGGGAACCTTCAGAACAGGAACACAGGAGAGCTAGGAACAGTGACCGAGAGAGACACCGAGGCCATTCCCACCAGAGGAGGACCGCTGACGAAAGGCCTGCGGGTGGCCAGGCTCAGGGACGGGATAGAGACCTTCAGAACTTGCAGGCTCAAGAAGCAGAGAGGGAATTTCATAATGCTAGGCGACGGGAGCATCGCCAGAAGAATGAAGTTAGTAATAATGATAATGAGTCTCATCAGTTAGTTCCTCGTCCTGGTGGTAACAGTAAAGAAAAGGAGCCTCCTGCGAAAGAAAAGCCAAGCTTTGAACTCTCTGGGGCACTCCTTGAGGACACTAACACCTTTCGAGGTGTGGTCATTAAATATAGCGAGCCTCCAGAAGCACGTATCCCCAAAAAACGGTGGCGTCTCTACCCCTTTAAGAATGATGAGGTGCTCCCAGTCATGTATATCCATCGAAAGAGTGCTTACCTCCTGGGTCGACATCGCAGGATTGCAGACATTCCTATTGACCATCCCTCTTGTTCTAAGCAGCATGCAGTATTTCAATATCGGTAAGTATACATTTACAGAAAGAAACAAATGTTAACAGAAGCTGATGCCCATGTTAGTTAGGATTAGCATGTTCTGTGTACATCTGTAGGCAAGAGAATCCCAGGCCCTGCATAGCTTATGTCTTGAGTATTAGTAATTTAATTGATAGCCTTTTGAATAATTTTTTATATTTATTTAAGAACATTGAGCTGTGCATTTGAAATCCAGATTTGATTCCTGCCACCACCACTGCCACTTAATAGTAGTAAACCACTCTCTGGGCCTCAGTTTCCTACTATCTCACAGGACTCTTAGGAGGGTTAAATGACAGTGTGTGTCTGAAAGTGCCTGGTATATATGTTAGCTGCATAAGTCTTGCTAACCTAGTAGTACAGCTGTTATTTGATCCTTACCTCACACAGTCCTGTGAAGTTGTTAAGACAGGTATAATAGTCCCATTGGACAAATAGCAAATGGAATCTCAATAAAGCCAAGTGCTTTTCTCAGTAAACAATCACCATACTAGAACTAGAACTGTGGCTTAAATCCAAATCCTTTGACTCTGAAATCCAAGTTTACTGTATTTTCTTATTTGGACAGGATCTGAAATATATTGAGGTAAAATAGATTTATTTCTTTATTTATTATATGTTTGTGTAGGGAGCTCTGGTGGTAGTATCCATGGGGGGGTTCTGTTAACCAAAGTTGAGGCCTCTGGCAGTTTGAGTACACCCAAGTTATTGAGGAAGAAAAATGGGCAGTTTCCTCCCATGCCACTAACAACCTTGAAAACCCCCTGGAAGTTCATCTGTGAATTGGTTGTGACAGCACTGAGTTGTAATTGAGTTATATATTTGTATATTATAAACAACACAGAGTACTTTAACAATGTCAAGAGACTTTGGATTCAAATCAGAACTTGGGGGCCTAGGTTGCTTTTTGTGTTTTTGTTTGTTTACAATGGAGTCATCTGGCATAGAAGTTAGAGCTTGCTAACCTTTTCTACTAAGCATATCTAAACTCCCTTCCAACTTCTGATCCAAAACCATTCTTTTTTCTTGATTTTGCAGAATTTTAGTATGAGCTGTGTTCACACCAAGTTATTGCATCATCTAGACTATGTTAGCAAAAGCTTTAGATAGGCTAGATAATCTGAGGCAAGAGTTTACTCATATGCTCTCCTTTATCTCTGCTAGGTTGGTGGAGTACACTCGTGCTGATGGGACAGTTGGCCGCAGGGTGAAGCCCTATATCATTGACCTTGGCTCAGGCAACGGAACCTTCTTAAACAATAAGCGCATTGAACCACAGCGATACTATGAACTGAAAGAAAAAGATGTATTTAAATTTGGCTTCAGTAGCAGAGAGTATGTCTTGCTTCATGAGTCCTCTGACACTTCAGAAGTAGATAGGAAAGAAGACGAAGATGATGAGGAAGAAGAGGAAGTCTCTGACAGCTAGCAAACTAAGAAATGACTCAAATGATTGAGATAATTTTTCCTTCTTGGAAGGCTTTGAGATTGACTCAAAGAGTACTGTGGTGCTCTCTGTAACGCCTCTTATTGCCTTAAGTCTTTCCTCTGTTGCTGACCAGCTTATGCTCCAGTTTAAGAAATGGCTTATGTTTGGTTGAACGTTCTTCCTGTGGTGCATCAGCTACATGTGGTCACTTGTTTTTGGAATAGTCTCACCAATTACATACAACACATCGTATTTGAGCAGAAGCATTACGGCTTTAGTTGGTGCTTTAAAACTGCTGCCTGGAAAACTGTAAACCCTTGATTATAGGGAGATTTATGGCTTGTTTTTTCTGTACAGTTACTTTATTTATAGATTTGTTAAGTATTGTGGACCAGTTTTTGTTTTGGGGGCAAACCTCTGAAGCTTTGGTTATCACCCAAACAGCCTCCAGTTTATACCAAAGCTTTGAGTTGGTGAGCTCTTGAGTCACAGAAGTTGATTTTGCACTTAGTCTTTTTGGGAATGGGAATTTACCATATGACCTCATTACAGACTATTTAAGTTAAACAGCTGCTTTGTGGAGCCAGCTTGAGCATATGACTGGACAGGAAGATCCTGACTACTGCTAACAAGTGGTAATTTAATGTAGTGAGAGAATACTAGTTCTTGGATGTGTTCCCTACGTAAGAATTCATGATTTCTCTACAGAACATGCACATAACAATTTTGATCATCTTATTTGTTCAGCTTGGCAATTTTCTTTTTCCAGATGTTAATCCTTCTTCCTTCTTTGAAAAGTACAGTGTCACTTATGTAGCAGTGTCCTTGTTCAATCCTAACAACATATATAGTCCAAAAAGACCTTGTGTGTTTTATGTGTCATCTTCGAAAAGAAGTGTTCAGAAAAGTTGTATTTACTTACCCAAGGCTGGAAAGCAGGGGAATTGTCCCAGTTTCTTAATTTTCTACCAGAGGAATATGTGTGAGTAGGGATGTATTATCTACTTAACATATATATTCTATATGTGTACATAGAAATTTGTGTGAAAGAGCCACATTCTGATTTTCATATGAGAATGTTTTGTGATGTAAATGTGATACTACATTATAGGCTATGGCCTCCCTGCATTTGAAGAGCAGGTTTTCATTTATATGTATTTTTGGGAAAAAATAAAATTTGTAAATATAGCCCCATTTCAAAGGTTAATGCTTTCTTTCATTGTATAGAACATCTTGTGTTAAATCTGTTCACTGCTTAAGGAGTCTTTGAATCAGTATTTGTGAGGTAACCATGGGTGGTTATGCAGAGTGTAGGAAAGAGAAGGAATACAGAAGCTGGAATGAAACTTAAGCTAGACTTCCAGGTCTTTGAATCTGTGTGAGTGTTGGGTATTTGAAGCAGCAGTGCTTTCTGAATTGACAGTGAAGAGCTACTCCTTCCCAGAAGAGAGAGCTTGAAGCAAGTTCTATATGATTTGACTTTTACCAATTTATCCCTCTCCTTACAGTTTCACTTTTAGGTGGTGAGTGAGGGGAGGAGAAAGAAGAGTCTTTTTTGTCTTTGTTCAGTGTTTTTACATTATAGTCTCACATACCCAATATGTTGTTGTTAGGTGCCATCAAGTCAAGTAGAGCTCAGAAGGAACCAGTCTGAACCTTGTCCTACCCTGTGTCATTCTTACCATTTCAAACATACTTGAACCCATTTCTATAGTCATTGTGTCATTCAATCTCATTGACACTCTTCCCCTTAACCTTTCCAAGCATGGTGTTCCTCTCCAAGAGCTCTCCTAGCAACATGCCTAAAGTATGTAAGATGAAGCTTTGCCATCTTTGCTTCCAAGGAGCACTCTGGCTGTACTTTTACCAAGATACATCTTTCTTCTTTTTGCAGTCCACGGGATATTTAGTACTCTTCTCCAACATCACAAATCAAAGGCATCAATCTTGTCCAGCTCTCAGCAGCACAGAAAGTAACTGGAAGGACTGGCCTGAGTCAGGTACTCCTTAGTCTTCAAACTAGTACTGCTTCTCACTACTTTGGAGAGATCCCTGACTGCAGACTTGCCCAATGCAATACATCTCCTGATCTCCTGACTGCTGGTACCAAGGGTATTGATTGTGGATCCAAGTAAGATGAAATCTCTTGACAGCCTCAGTCTTTTCTCCATCTATTATGTTGTTGCTTATTGGTCCAGTGGTTTGAATTCTTGTCTTGATGTTCAGTTAAAATCTGTCTTGAAGGTTGTAATCTTTAATCTGCTGCAACAAGGGCTTCCAAGTTCTCCTCACTTTCAGCAAACAAGATTGATTATCAGCAATAATGCAAGTTGTTGATGAGTCGTCTTCTGATCCTGTTGTCACATTCTTCCTAGAGTCCATATATATTCATAGACACCCAATGCCCAAATACTGATGAGTGTGGAACCAGACAACTGACTAATGAATAAACTAATGAATCACTTTTGAAGAGCAAAACTTAATAAGGTCAATTAGATGAAAGGAAGAGGGAGAAGGTGCAACAATGTAAGCACAACTAGGTTTATCCTCCCAGTTTGCTCAACTTTGGGAACTAACTATAGCTGCTCCATGTGTTTTAGATCGCTTATGTACGTACATATTTATGCACTAGATGTGCTGAATTTTTCTGCCTAGCTTCATCCTTCAAGGCTACCTTGTGTAGTTTATACTGCTGTAACTGCTGACTAGTATCCCCAAACTTGACTTGAGAACTTCTGGTGGGAACTTAAAGATAACCAGGGCCGATGGTTTTTAGTAAGAGGTCAATAGTAAATTTTGCTTAAATGAAGGATTAGCTTCCTGGGTTAGGAGATTTTTTTTTTTCCATGGCAAATATCTGGAAGGATGAAGTTTCTTCCCCGTCTTCTGTTGCCCTATTTCTTTGAAAAAGGTCAAAGATGAGACACACTTTTCTCCGAAGCCAGTTATTACCAGCATATTTCCATTTGAAGTTGACACAATCCTAATCTTTTTTTATTAATTCATCTTGTTTAGAAACTCCTATTTATCTGAGCTATCAAAGGATGTCTTATTAAGTGCAGTTGATGATAAAACTTTCAAATACTTTTATTGTGTCCCAGTGATACTAATGTGAAAGAAAAGATTTTTTTCAGTTATGTTAATTGCCTCTCTTATGACAGTATACAGTATAAACAGGTTGTTTTTTTTTTTTTTTAATCTCTCTTATTTTTAATGTTCCGAGTTTGTGGTTGCAGGGCCGGCGCTCCCTGCCAGACTCAGGTTTATAAGTTTTCAATTGGCTGGTGAGGCCAGTAGGGATACTTGGTCTTGTCTAACTTGGTTTCCGGGAAAGCTTCATTCAAGTCCTCAGTGGTCATCTGCTCGAACAGAATGCTGTTCCTCAACTTCTCTAGCTGCTTCTCGTACTCCTCAATCCTACTCTTGGAGAGAGACACAAACTCCGCACAACTCTTCATGTCTTCTTTTTCTTCGGCATCTACCAGGGCTGTATACTTATCCTCTGGCACGGGAACCTTCAGGGCGTTAAACTTCTTCTCAAAGTCATCCACTAAGCCTGCCTTGGCCACGTTGGCCTTGTAGTAAGCCCAGTTGATAGCTGGAGGTGCCTCAGGGACAGCAGCCAACCTGGTGGTGAGAATCTCATTCCAGGATTTCAGGCAGTTAGCAATAGCCTTCTGGTTTCGGGGTATGATCTCCCCAAAAGCTACCCAGTCAATGGCTTTCAGAGTAAGTTTTCGCCCAGCCATCTTGAGATCCTTCAGCGACCCCGGAGGCCCTATAAACGGGTTTTTAAGAGTTTAGAACTTACTAGATATATTTCAGATTGGTTATCATGTGATAGCGAGCACAGATGAATAAATTTTTTTTACATCCTTCATGGAAATTAGTTATGGATCTGAAAAATGAAATAAAATCAGAGCAAAATGTGGCACTAAATATCCAGCAATGCCTGCTTAAAAAATATTTCTAATAATATTTCTAATAAGTCTACAATATTTGTAAGTATGTGAGTTTACATAAGTGGAAAGCTCAAACGTTTTGGAATTTAATAATTTAGTTGGTCTTGGAATTGAACAATTCAGTTGGTCTCGAGTAAAGTTTCCACTAGTTTTATCCAATAAGAAACATGACAAGTCCATTTATTTAATCACATTACCTTTAAAGAGCATAAATTAGCCAAAATTGCCTCATTCAAAATCCTGCCTCAAAAAAAGTACACAATGTCTTTGAACGTGTTTGCTCCTCTTTGGTGATGACTACACTGGTACAAGATTTCCTTTAGTGAGAACAAAATGTTTAAAAAGTAGACTGCAATGGTTACACAATCCTGTAAATATACTAAAATAACTAAGCTGCTTTAAATGGATGAATTGTGTAGGATGTAAATGATAAAACCTTTTTAAAAAAATCTTACAGATAGCATCCGTAAAAAGATCTCTGGTGACCCAAATGGTTAGATGCTTGACTACTTATCTGAAGGTGAGTGGTTTAAGCCCACTCTACAGAAGAGAAACTATAGCCAAAAAAAAAAACCCATATGGAGCAGTGCTACTTTGTCAGAGTCCTAGGATATAAGTCTGTTGCCTCTGAGTTGATTCTTGTCACGGATCCATAAATGACAGAGTAGAGCTGTTACATAGGGTAGAGTGTTCTGGGCTGTACTCTTTAAAGAAGCAGGTGGTAGGCCTTTCTTCTGCAAAATTGCTAGGTGAGTTCAGAATGCCAACTTTAAGTTAGTTATTGAAGTACACAGAAACAATAGATCAAGATAAGGGGAGAATTAACTGGAGAAACTAGCAAAAACTGGATACTTAAATCGTAAAACACTATAAAATGTACATGATTACTATTTACAAAGAACTAAAGACCAATTAACCCACATAGAATTTGAAAAAACAAACAGATGAATGAGAAATTTAAAAGGGTATCGGAAATTTTCAGAAATGAAAAGTACAGTGTTTAGAAGCCTGCCAATGGTGAGTGTAAACAGCAGTTTA